TTGAAGAAGAGAGTGAAAATTGAAATTTGATTTGTGAGCAATGAAGAGTGTGTGAGCAGTTTTTGAAGGCTTGAGCTTGTTATATAGAGTAAGGAAGAGTGGTGAACAAGCTTACTTTGAGGGCAATGAGGTCTTTATGCTTTTAAGACCGTTGGAGGGCATTATGGACAAATATTGACAAAAATAGAAATGGAAACAACAACTTGAGCTTTGCTTTGTAATGTTGAGTTTACATGGTCGTTTTGATGACCAAATAGAGAGTGGGAAGAATGAGGAAATGCATGAGTTTGTTGAGCTGGCAGATATAACATAAAGAGAAAAGTTTTTAGAGGGAACTTTGCTATTTTTGGCAAAGCACGAAATCAACATTTGTGTACGATACTATGAGTGTTTCCTGGCTATTTTGGAAAAAGGAATGACGAGGACATGCTATACAGTGTGTGCATGAGGTGCATAATAAGAAACATGCAACAAATTCCCTCATATGCACAAGAATCTATATCTTCCTTGACTTTCATGACCATAGATCCAACCATGACCAAAACTCAATATCTCACTTTTCCCTCAGGTGTTTTTCACTATTTTTGGATCATATGAAAGCTGAAGTAGTAAGCTTCAACATTGATGTTGAGAGAAATTGAAAATAAAGCTTGAAAAGACCTGAAAAACTGGTACGAAAATGATATAACTTGAACTGGCCAGGCACGCACCATGTCATTCTAGCCAGAGATTTGACAAATTGTGCCCTTGAATTCAAAGCAAAATACCTTTCTCTATAATGCACCAATTGAAATAAAATTTGAAACAAACTTGAAGAGGAAGTCTCAAATTTCAACTTTGATGTTGATCACTTTTCAAAATGAGGATTGATTCAATGAGAAAAAAGTCTATGAACATGTGCCCAAAAGGTGTTTGATGAAATTCCTAGCCTGATGCGTGCACGAGCTTCTCATGCTAGGCAAGTTGACTACTTCAAACAACAAAATCCTAAACTTATATCTCCTCCTAAACTAAACCAAATTCAATAATCTTTAAAACAAAGTTGGAGGAAATCAAACAAACTTCAATTCTCTATTTGACACTTTTTAAAATTGAATTCATTTGAATCTTCAAAACTGGCTATGAAAAAGGGGATTTTTTAGGTCAATACCTTAAAATTCTCTAAGTGTCAAAATCTTCTAAGCACTATCACTTTCTCTCATTTCACTTTTTGGACTTGAGCTCACAAAGAAAAAGTTGAAGAAATTTTCCTCCTCTTTCCAAGCATGTAGAAGTTGCATTTTCTCAAAAAAAAATGAAGAACTTATGAATTTTTAAAATTCATCCTTATTAGTTTCCATACTTGGTAAATTTTCAAATTTCACCAAGATACCTTCATGAACAAGTCATCTTCAAAATCAACATTTATCTTAAATTTATTCAACCATAGAACATGTGATGTTGAAACATGATCATTGACCTCGACTTTCACCAAAAGTCCCCTTGGTCAACAGTTGACTTTTGTTGACTTTTGCTTAGATGACTATTTTACCACCAATTAATCAATTGAACCACTTTCAATCAAAGTCGATGTTGAATCCTTCATTCATAGGTGCATATGAACATGTAGAGAAGCATGGAATCTTCTTTCCCAAAAAGTCAAAGATATCCTGATTAAATCCAAAACCCTAATTTTGGCCCTTTGTGCTAGGAGATGATGATCCAGTCTCAAAACCATAATTCCAAGGAACATGATGAGGAATTATTTGAACAAAGATGTATCATATAATAATGAGAGGATAATACTTCACAAATTTGGCCCATACAAGTATCAAACACTTCATTTGGCCAAAACCCCAATTCTCAAGAGATGCATATGAGAACATTAATTTAAGAATCAACACTTGCAATTTCAAACTTCTAATGAATCACAGAGACAATTGAGATGTTATGAGAAATTCTTATAGCTTGAGTGACTCAAAGATTGAGGGCATGAGACCCTTCTTGCACTGATTTTTAATAGAACCAACTTTCATAGCTCTTAGACGAACTTGGGAACCAAAACACCTTGATCCTATCACAATGTGTGGATGCATATGATGAAACATAAGCCTTTAAAGTTCTAAAAACAAGAGGGTAAATTTTGGGGTACAACATAAGGTAACCCTATTAACCTCAAAACTTGAAAGCATGACTAAGTCCATAAGGATGATGAAAAATGGATCTTATGTGTTGGATGAAATTCTTCAAATTGGAGAAGGAGGTAAAAGATTTACTGGTATAAGGTTTGACTATTAATCTTTGAATAATTAAAGAAAAACCCCTGTGATAAAATTTGTTCTTGCTGAAGTGAAGGATGAGGTCATAATGTCTGACAAAATGTCACAACATCCTGCTAGACTTCAAAAAACTCAGACTAAAGCCAAGCTCCAACCTTGGAAATGTCACTATTTTGGTAAATATGGTCATATAAAACCATTCTACTACATATTGTATGGTTATCCAAAACATTCACCTCAACCTAGGGCTAATCATGTAAGGATTAAAATTATAAAGGAATGGAAACCTAAGGTTGTTAATACTAGTAATATAGCCCATACTTCTTTTGTGGTCGATGACTTGATCATTAAGAAATGGACTGATGTCGACAAAGATATTGGAATATCATATCAGCAGATCGATGCTCTATAAATGAGGTATATTATGAGTCTAACAATGAGTCTGTGCCTATTGAGTCCCCTGAACAATCTCAAGAGGTTGTGTCTGAAAGTAAATTTGTCAGTAATGAGAAAGATTATTCTGCTAATACTGTGTTCAAGGAGGTCATGGCTAAACAGGTCAAACAATGAATAAAGAAGGGTAAACTATTTGCTAGCAAGTTGAGTGTGAAGTATGGTGTGCTTCATACCTCTACCATTATTACAGGTTTGGGTTGTTTGTAGGAACGTATGTCCCAGACATTGTTGTGACATCTTATGTTGAGTTGAAGGATGCCTATAAAGATTTAGATAAGTGCAAAGCTTTATTTCCTTTTGTATCTCTTTTCATTTGTAGGATATGCCCTGGATTTTTGTGATTCCATTTTTGTTTCCAACTTGTGTACATTTACTCTATTTCTTTTTGTTAATATTTTGGCTAAAAAGGTGGAGTAAAGTGTTGTGTCCTGATGTTACATCACATGTCTTGACATGTTGATCTAGCATTGTGATAGGACAGTGTGCTACTGCTTTTAGGAGAGTAGTTATTTCTGTTTGTGTGGTTGCTCATGCAACTATTCAGGGGGAGCATGATTGTTCATGCTTGTGTGTGTTGAAGCTGCTATTGTTGCTTCTACTGTTCCGTTGTAGGTGCTCTGGTGTGGGATTTTTCCTTGAGGGGGAGAACCTATTGTGTATGATAGGGGGTATTGTACCTGTCTGATTGTATAAGCTTCTAAGTTATATTGTGTTTATAGAGTTTACATGGTTTCACGTAACTTGTGTTTATGGTTTTACTCCTCTCTCAAGGATATTTGATCTTTGGTTGTTTTAGCCTAAATTTTCCAAAGGAGAAGAGTGTTAGGTCTGTGATTTTATGGTTGGCAACAATTTTGGTAAGAGAAGTAGTTGACAACAATTCTATCAAAACATGTTTCATTAGAAAAAACATGTATTGCATCCTAATGTTGAACAAGATATCATAACATCTTGACCAGCTGGTACAACAGTGTATGCATGTACTTATTTTAATAGATGTTCTATCAGATGTTATAACATGTTATAATAGAACATCATGACAGTACTGTTAGATACTTATTCTAGAAGATTTGATTGAAAAATATGAGATTCTAAAGGTTTCTAGTACTCATAACAAGCGCAGAAAATCAAGGATTGTTAGGAATACTTGCATATTTGATTTATTTCATAAAAAAGGATCTTTGAGACATTTTAGGAAATATTTAAAAGATTTGTTTTTGTTTCTATTTTTGTGGAGAATATTCTGCAGGGATTTATAACCGAAGATTATATCTTATTGAAGAGTCCAAGTCCAACTCCAGAAGCCTATATAAGCAGTCGTCCAAGACCTAGTTTATAAGCATAGTTTTTATTGTAAAACCTTGTGAAAAATAAGGGTTTAGGATTTGGTAGTCCTTATGTACTCCATATGTTTTTTGTACATCCTCATGTATCTTTGATGCATTTGAGTAGATTGATTGTTACTTGTTTATAAAGTTATTGTTCTCCTCGAAGCTTTTAAGAAAGAGTTTAGTATTGTTCTTATTGAAGCTTTTAAGCAAACTAAGCATTTGTAATTTTTAAGTGTGTTCTTCCTTTTTGGTTTCTTGAGACTGCCATTGGTGTTAGGGTAGGTCTTTTATCACTACGGTGATTGGAAGTGAAAGGGGTTTCTCATATCTAGGAGGTGCTTAGGTAGAAGTTGCGTTGGGTAGGGATTAAGTAAGAGGTTGTAAAAGGGGGTGTTTTGCTTCAAATTAATTATGCTAATAGTGGATTTCCTTTATGGCTTGGTAGCCCCTAGAGTATGTGAGTTTGCACCAAACTGGATTAACAATTTCATGTGCTCTTTTACTTTCTACAAGTTATAATTCTAAATAGTTGTTATCTTGTTGTTCTGTTAGTAGATGCTATAACATCTGTTATAATATTGTGTGTTGTTGAAACATCTGTCTTGACTTATGTTATTATGCGTACCAGAATTTCACAACATATGAAAATAATGGCTCAAACACTCCACAAAATATATAAACCAGCAACAATATACATAACAATATCCAAAAGATAGCAGAAGATGCTAACATAAGTCTAAAGATAAAAATAAATATGATAAAGATAAAGTGCATATGATGATATGATGTGATGCGGGTGAGGGAGTAGAAACAACATCAATATCATTAAGGTTAAATGTAAGAGTGTAGATTCCTAAAGATAATCTAAGAAATCTTTCACAACAGAAAATTCATCTAGGATCTTCTCTTCTCTTACTCTTACTTCATCTTTGAAATTTTCTTCTTTTTTCTTCGCTTATTTTGCCACCACGTCAATATGAGCATGAATATGAAATTCTCTTGCTTGAGAATTAGGTAAAATCTTTCTAACCAATGTATCAAAATAAGCCTTAGAATCAGCAGACAAGAAGCTACCTAATGAACGATAAGGCATAGATGATGATGAACCATTATGTTCAGAAGCAACATGAAAACCAGAAGCAGATGATATCCTCTTTTCTTCGACCGGTTTTGGTACTTCAACCAAATCTTCTTCGGCAGAGGTGACACCATTCAGTTCCAAAATAAACTGAGTAAAGGATGAGAAGAATAAAGACCACTTCTTAGAACTACTGCAATAATCAATCCTATGCAAAATAAACATTACCCTATTTCACTTTCATCTTTGAGAATAACCCACACCAGGTACAAACCAAGATCCTCATCCTATGCCCAATTACGGGGCTTCTGGAATAAAACTTTCACAACAATCAAGTGCAAAATACTCATTTCAAATTTAACTTTACAAATATGAAAATTAGCCAAATCTAAACAATCCTAGAAAACAGATTTTGAAATTCTCTTGACAAAGTCTCCTATAACAAAACCAGATGAATTTGAAATGAAGACTTCATTACCCTTAGATTATAATTTTGAAATGATGCTTTAAATAATTTAGAGTGAACTTAATAATGGCTTGGTCACGAAAGACACATTCAAGACCATCACTAGTTATCTTAAGATTGCAATATAAAACCTTAATGTGACCGGAAAAACAAGCATAGAGGTTTTCTTGGTAGCTTGCACTTTTGGACCTTTGCTTCTTAGAAATTGGAGGAAGAGGATTTAATGATGTCTCCTTTATTTTCCTTTTCTGCTTCTCATAGAGATTAACTAGTTGGCTTGAACTCATGGTGATAATAAGGTTTAAGAAGAAGAATGGTAGTGATGATTATGGTGATGGATGATGAAATAAGATGAATTATGATGTGATATGTATTTAGAAAATGGGGTGAGAGATATCAGAGGAAATGAGTTCATTTTGAAATGAGAAGATTTTAATGAAATAAAGTGATAGGAAGTGGAAATACCAAGGGTTATACATTAAAAAAAATTAATTTTAAAGTTTGATTTGAATCATGTGTAATGCATGAGTCGAAACAATTTCAAATATATTTAAAAATTTTACTCTTGATTCAATTCAAAGAAGGAATTTGAATCGAATCAAAATAGATAGGCGCGTCTTCCCTTTTGACTTTTCACTTGTGATTCGAATCATGTATTAGGACATGAGTCGAATCATGGTCACCTATTTTGAAAATTTTGAAATAATAGATACAAAGTTAAAAGAAAATTTTAATGAAATTCCATTTTAATAATAAGAAAAGTAATGAACTACAATTTAATAATACGAAAAATAATGAAACGCAATTTAATGATATGCCAAATAATAAAATGCAATTGCATTAAAAAACTCGAGTGATGAATTAATGTGTGATAAATGCTCAGATGAAATAATAAACATACAATATGCTCAGATGAATGAAATATAAATTTCACAAACAACATGTACACATACATTTCACACGTACATTATATTTAGCACACAAGGACTTGAATGAATAGATGTACTACAAGAATAATAAGAAAGGTTAGAACGATCATATCAATTTTGATGATTTATGCTTAACTTGTTGGACGTGTAAATGGTTAATAAATTACAAAAACATATCTTCAGCAAAATATGATCAATCATATTAAAATGGATACGACTCCTTTGCACGAGACACTCCTTCATAACACATCAAATGAACTCGTACATCAAATGTTCTGATAATGGGTGTTCATTGATTAAGATAAATCCCAACTAAACAAGAACCCAAACCAAACTAATTAGTTTGGGTTGGGCATTTTTCTAGTTCGGGCAAAAACAGAACCAAATCGATAAAAAACAATGTTAATTGGTTCGGACAACAAATTTGTAATTTACTACCCGTAAACTCAATCCAAACCAATAAAAGTCAACATAATTAAATTATATATTAAATTATTAATTTTTATTGAATTATATATTACTATTTGAATGATATTAATATTAATACCAAATTGAAAAACAAACAAAAAAAATACCAAGAGTCTTAGTACCAAACCAAATTACTAATTAATACCATGTATTTGTTACCTTGGAAAATCTTAAGGAATTCAAGTACATGTGATAAATGAAAATATTCTCATAAGTTAGGAGTCATCCTCTAAAATAAGGGTTTTGGGGAAACAGAAGCCAATGTGTGAAAAGTTGATTTTATTAAGTCAGAGTTAATGCTTGGAAGGAGCCACATTGAAACTGTCGAAAATTGAATTACGTCGACTAGGAAGAAATAAAAGAATATGTCAGGAGGATTAAATTGGTTAAGTCGACCAAAAAGGTAAAAGACAAGGACTTGGTAGAAGATGATATTAGTCGACAAAGAAGGGTATCTTGGACTTAGAGAAAGCGTGATTATTCTTTTCCAGAAAGAAAGCGTCGAAGCAAGGCATAGGCGCTTTATGATCAAGAAGCTTAGAGGAAACGTGGGCAGTTACCAACAACCCATGACGTGTTCAAGCACCAAATAAGTGGAACTTCAAAATTATGAGAAGTTACTAGCAATCCACAATATGTTTGAGCACCAAAGAGGTGGCAGCATCTAGTGAAGCAGTTACCTCAAGATGTTAATATTAGCCGTAGATTTTATCTAGGTATTTACTTTGTAAACACTATAAATAGGTAGGTTTTGTGTAGTCTGGGGGTGTTCACTTGTACTCTCAAATCACTTGTCAAACTCTCTCATTCCAAGCGCCAGGAAATCAAGAGTGAAGAGTGCTTGATGTACGTGAATCACCATCTTTATTTCAATGCAAATCTTTTATTTTTCAGTTATATCTTTTGAGTGTTTTATCTGTTTTCTCTTTACTGTCGAGCAAGATCTATACGTTATCTTCTATTTTGCATGAACAATTTGACACTATCTGTGGATCACGAGTCACCTGTCAGTTACTTTAGTGAGTCTTGCTTTTGTACGAATATCTTCTGTCGATCACTGTTGTACCCCAAAATTTTCCCTCTCATTTCATCAATATTTCTCATCACAAGACTCTTGGAACTCAGGATCAAGCTAGGGTTTGCTCTGCTCAGGATACCTCCTTGCACTGTTGACCTAAATTAGGATTTGAGTTTGCACAGTGATGTTTTGACCTACAATACCCAAATTGACTTTCATACTTCATATTGGACTCACAAGTTTGTCCATACCAAGTTTCAAGCCTTGATTCAGATTTTTGCCCAGTCAATTGGACAGTTGACCTAGAAATCAGTTGTATTAGGGAAAAAGTCAACTGTGGCCAATTGACATTCAAACCTCATGAATTTTGACCCATATCAACATTATGAACTCATATGAACCATTTGATCAAGTTTGTATCACAATTCCACAAGAAATTTGATCAGATCACCAAAAGGGCAAAATGGTCATTTTTAGGGTTTTGATTGTACAAAGGCAATTTTTGACTGTTTGACCTAGCCAATGGAAAATCAAGCTCAACCATGGAATCAAGGACTAAATGACATTGTCTTGACTCATTCAACAAGTTCAAAAGATCTCAAATGCATAGGATTGATAGATGAATTTTTCAGTCAACTGATCAAAATTGGACTGTACACTGAAAAGTCAAACTTTGACTTTTTGGTCAAAATCAAGTGCCAAGGGTCATTTTTAATCAATACATGTCAAATCATGAAACTTGTTCATCAAGAAACCCAAAAATGCAAATTAGGGTTTAAAATGGAAAAAATTTTCATAACTTAGAAATTTTCTAAGTTATGAAATTTTCTTATTTTTTCCTAACTTTGTCCCATTTTTTCACCAAGATGCAAATGGATTAAAACAAAACTTGCAACATGAAAGTTGTAGTCCATCACAAAGTATACAACTTTGATTCACAAAGTTTTCTCAAAAAAATCTTGGATCTCAAGTTATGATTTTTTGAACAAGGGTACCTAAAACTTTTAACTTAGAAAAATTTTGCCCTAGTTTAGGCAGGATTTTGACCCATCTTCTTGGCCATTTTTCACATAGTTCCACTTGAAGTTTCAAGTTGAATTTCAAATATGGATTATAGTACATGTTGCAAGCTTTCCAAATTGTCCATGAACTCCTCAAACACCCTTGTGGTTAGGGAGAATCAAATGCTTGAAGTTGGCAAAAACTCACTTTGATCCATGGCCAATACATGTTCATACAACTTGCATTTTCAAACCAAACTAGCTTAGTACATGATTACAGGCCTCTAAACCAATTCACACTCCAAAATTGAATGCAAATACATTAGATATTGGCATTGTTCTGATCAAAAGAGCTTTGTATAATGAACATTGCCATTTTGAGCATAAAGGCCACACTTCCATTTTAATAAATGACACTTTATGTCAAATTGCTTTTTCTTGGGCCTTTGACTTTCTTCCTTTGCAGCAAACAAGCTCCAAAATCTCAAAGAATAGTACACCAAGTTGAGCATGCTTGTAACTAGCCTGTACAGGCCCTAGCTTGGACAGTTCACATCTTTGCTTCAAAAACAAGTCAAATGACCAAAAGCTCGGATCTCTCATATCTGATAAAACCAACAAGAACAAAGTTTTAAAACAAGTTTGGCATATCCTCACAAGTCAGAAGCACGAGCCCTTGACCCCAAAAACCTCCTTGTACACAAAATCATCATTTTTATGTAAAACAGGGCAAGCCCTGCAGAATCACCTCCATCTCCACTTTGCCTCGTGCGTTTGGCCTCAAACTTGTTCCAATATCTTCCATTCAACTCACCTAAACTATCCCAGACCTCCATTGTTAGCTGTAACACCATTAACACACATTGCCATTTTTGTTTGAAAGCTTTGCAGGTTGAGTTCTGTAGCACGATTCAGGCTACTTCAAAACAAGCCAAGCATTGGGAAAGCTTCAGTGGACCTCAGGCAAGCTCAAAAGAACCTCAAGCACCTTTGGAAGTTGCTGCATTGCCCAGCTTGAAGTCAACTGAAACAGGTATTTCATGAACTTCTATCTCTCTATTTAGGAATAGTTAGACTTAGGTTTGTGAATGAAAGATGTTGTATTCATAGCCTTGAAACCATACATGTGCTTAGTTTTCATTTATATTAATCATGCTAGGAGAATTTTGTTCATGAACTTTCTGAAAAAAACTAGGTTAAGAATTAGGGCCAGAGAAATTCTCTCTGGTCTTTGAGAGTTAGCTTGAGTTTTTTTATATGGTTAGATTCGTTGTTTGATGCTCTACAAGTTTCATGTTATGAGTTTTGTCAAAAAAGCAAGGAATCAGGAGATAGCATTTTGT